ACATCACTGTAACTCATCTTTGTTTTATATAGAAAATAATGCAATCTTGATATTATTGTTAATCTAAAAAATGTTATACTGTTTTAAGCATTCAGGGTTAGCAATAACTTTGTATAATTTAAAAATAATTTGCACTTGAAAAGAGCTTAATATTTTTTTATTAAAATTATAACACAAATATTATCTGATAATTATGGATGTGTGTATGTGTATTTTTTAATGATTGAATTTCAAAGTGTAGTTTAAAATTAATGCTTCGATATACAAGTAAATGGATTGAGGAAACATATGATAAATACAACAATTTTTTTTTTTATAAATACTTTTATATTGACCAAATATAATATCCATATAAAATCTATATACAAAATATAACAATCATGGAACATTACCATTGTCAAAATATAAATAATGTCTTAAAAATAGTTTAATTGACTTTTTTTCATAACCTGTACAATGATGATTTTATTTCATTAAAAAAACTATTAACTACAGAAACTACTTAACTTGTCAATTTGTACAAAACATTTTATAATAATGGAAAAATATAACTAGTAACTATAGATAAAACTCTTAAATGCATTATGTCATGGTCACTCTTTAGCTTATTGTCTAAAATTTCATGAGTTTTCACAACATTTTTATTTTTTAATTATTATTTTTACGGCACCATAATAAAATAAGGCCACAGGGACATATTAAAATATTAAATCACAATAGAGTTCATCAAAGGCACCTGTCAATATCAACCAGTTGACAAAATATACTCAAGTTTTTTTGAGTCTTGGCTACTCGAGTCAAAAATATTTTGATATATTTTGACTCGAGTCACCCAAAGTCAGAAAACTTCACATATATATTATACAGACTGCTCAAGTCATTTCTACATAAACTATACAAATCACTGGGAATATTCTCCAAATATTCGTTTCTAAAATACTAACTAGACATTATAAACTAAATATTTACAATTTTTAAAATTACACGATTTGACTAGAAAATAAAAAAAAAGTCTTTACTCAACTTAACTTAGTTTGGCCCTAGGTTTTTCTACTTTAAGTACTTTGATGTTTCCGAATTATTAAATTAGTAGAATAACCATTAAAAAACGCTATTGTAAAAAATTGTAAACGATCTTCGAATCTCTTCCATAAGAAAGAAATTCAAAGATAAAATGTGTCCCTCGATGGTATCTCAGTATATGAGATACCATCGAGGAAGACTTAATGGTAACAGATAACAACTCCAAGTGGTTTAGAATCACAAAATCCGTCCAGGGTGTGAAACCATTTTTTTTTTTTTGGACTTGATATGTACAGATTTTTTTTTTTTAGTATTGTCTCATAAAGAAAAAACTTCAATAATAATTTATAATATTAGATAACAAGGAATATAAATAACTTATTTAGAAGGCAATGGGTTCAGCTTGTGACGACGGGCTTACTGCGTCATGAGGCACCACCTGTGAAAAGAAGAGGAAGTACTATTAGTCGAAGAAGCAGGAAGAGCATGTGGGGGTGGTGGAAGAACCACTTGCTGTACCACTATATATAGCTAACATGTGGTCTATATGCCACGACATGGTCTGCCACGTCCCTCCCTATGTCAGATGGTGGAAGAAAAGTGGAAAAAAATAAATAAATAATATATAAATATCTTACGCGATATCCTTGTAAGAGACGAACCCTCAAAAACTGCCTTTTCCCGATTCAAGGCAGTATACATACAAGTTTATACGAAATCCAAGTTTAAATATATCTTCTATTGATGGAGATAAACTTTTAAATAGGTTTATATGAATTTCTAATTTATTTATGCTTAGTTAGTGAATCAAAATAAAACCTTGTTAACATGTAACGTTGATAATAAAAATATACTCAATTGTTACCAATTGGAAGTTATTATTGCCAAACAACTAAAATAAATAGACAACTTCCCAGAAAAAAAGAACAAAATAAAACCGTATTTTCTATACATTTTTTCTCAAATTATTAACATACTCCTAAAACTTCATGAATATCTTTATCTTATCGTTATCTATAGTTTTTCATTTACGAAAAATCCTGAAAATTTGACGTTTATAATCTGAAGATTGAATTTAAAATTTACCTATTTAATACGATATCATCAACACCCATTTGCTTTCTAAGTGAATTGTCAAAAAAAAAACGAGGTTATATAAGACAAATGACTCAATATTTTTGTATTCATTCTTTCTCGATTCCGTGATCAAATTATTTTATAATTAATAGGTATTCACAAGTTTTCAATACTTTCAAATTAATTAAATTAAAAAACGCCCCAATTCCGTTAGATCGGAAATTTCAAGTTGAACATTAATTTAAAATGATTCTGAACATCGAAATTGAATTATTAAATTTCTAAACCTGAGTGTAATTTTACAATATTTTTAGGTTTTTTATATAAAGAGCAGAGTAAAAATATGTTATCACTTTTTTAAAAATAGAATTATCGTTATAAATGTGTCCATAAAGAGAAACTTTATTCTTGCATTCTGCATTCTTTCAGAAAGCTTTAATGAGAGAAAAAATTATATGTTGTATATTAATTCTTTTTTGCATTCAAGCTTCCTTGAAGAATGCATGTTTTTATTTTGCATCCGTTCATACGAATGATTCAATTAAAAAAAATATATAAAAAGTGACATCTGCTTTTTCCCTCTTACTCTTCATAAATAATGTTCAGCAATAATGAGAAATGAGAGAAAAAAAAAATAATCCAGATTTCTGATCTGTAATTATTTTTATTATATTGAACTAAGAATTTGTCAGAGATTTTTATTTTTAATAAGAAAAATTTTATTATTAAATTCGTATTATCTACTGTCAAATATTTCTTCACCATTAAAAATAATAATGTTGTGAAAATTATTATGAACAATAGAGCTTTCAAAAGAACGTATTTTTTAAATATATTAATAATGTAAACAAGGAGATATAAATTGAAATTAATTCGGGACGTGGCCAGTATATATTAATAAATGTATAATATTGTATTGTAAATAATTAATGAATACTCACCAATAGGAGATCTTGGAGGAAGCTGATTTTTCGTTGATTTTTTTTTGTTGATTTTTTGTTCTTTTTTGTTGAGATCGCATAACTGAACCAGCTTCTGTAATAGAAAAGCTATAATTAGATTTTCATATTATAATATTATACTAATATAAAATAATAATATAAAATAAATATAATATAAATGAAAAGAAAGAAGAAAGTGAAAGAGTGTTAAGAAGAACGGGTCGAAGAATGTTACACATGGTCTCATTGTCCGATTAACCTTCGTTATGAGGCTACAATTAAAGCTACAGGACATTGCACTCAACCGACTCTCCTACGAGCTTCCATGTCTTCTTCGACTTTCAAGACCAAGGATAACGATCGATCCTCCATGTCTTCGTCGGGTTCCAGGACCAAGAATAATAATCAAGCGGGTCTATCAAACCGGTAGAAACGCCGCTCACGAAATTTCCACCCGAAAAAGGTCAGTGTGTAAGGGCAACTTTCCAAAAGTTCCACTCATTTGTTTAGTAGAAAGAGAGAATAAAAAAAAAAAAAAAAATCTGTCCTACTTATTATGCAAAAATAACATTCATAATTAGTCGGTAGTTTCTCGGCATTCCAAGACGTGTTTCTGAACGTCAGCTTTCCAGAAGACGAAGATGTTAAACAGCTTCTGATGAATAGGAAAACTGCATCCTTAACGACCATTGAATAGATAAAACCGAATATATTACTGTATTTTTTTTCGTATTTCCAAAATCTATACTACGTTATATATAGATCAAGATAGTATAAATCGCTTTCACGATGAAATTTTATCAATGAAGTATTAAACGACAAACCTCAATTTCGATACTTAAATTAGTACAACTTTAATAAAAGTCGTCGAAAAAAGAAAAAGTTTGAAAACTCTTTATTGATAGATAGAGATAAGCCAAATTGTATTTTAAAGATATAGTCGTGTGGATTAAAACCAAATTATTTTATTTTTTTAGATAATTAAATCATGCTTGTAATTAGTAACTGTTACAGAAGATTTATAATTTTTAATTAATTGAAACCTAGTAAATATTTAACTGTTTTCTAAGGGAACAATTTCATAGCACTGTGTTCATATATTATTTCTGAAATAAATAATGGTTTTTGGCACAATTAAATTATTTTGATTATACAGAACTGTTTAAAAATTCAATTCAAACCAAAAAAAATAAAAATTAATGATTGAAATCAGAATATTTTTTTAGCAAAGATATAAACAATTGTAATTATGAAAAACTAACTATTTTAGTCCATTAATGAATAAAAATCGATTCTTAAATTTCAGTATATTTTGCATTTACTTATTATATTGCTATAGTATTATACTATTGGTTTATTGCAATAATTCATTAGGTGACATTTCAGATCCAAAAATAATTTAAAAATTGGTAACATTTATAATTATTTTTATTATAACTTAATTTTTAAATTCATTGAAATATAGGTCAAAATGGGCTTATAGGTCAAAAGTATATGTATTCAATTTTTGACTAAGCTTTAATTTCGAACTTCTTGAAAATAGTAAATATACCAATCGTAGTCTTAGATTTAATATTTTTATTTTGTTTAGAAATGTGAGACTGGATATTGAACTTAACTGTTTGAGGAATTTGGACATTGTCGAGGAAGCCAAGTTTCACGTCGATTAAATTAAATTTATATTTAAAATGTAATTGATATTTTTAAAAATTGAGAATAACTGGTTCATGATAGAACCTATGATGTTTTATTTATATAATTTTATATGCTGAAGGAGGGGGACAAAGATTCTCTAAAAAGTCCAAATAAAAATTGATAAAGAATAAAATTGAATTATGTACATATATTTATATACAGGATATATACAAACTATATCCTGTACATATTAATATGTACAGAATATACAGAACGTCTAATGTGATCTTTGGCCAGACAAATATGCACACGCTTGTCTAACCCCTAGCCGTTTTCTTCGTTTCCCCGATAAACCGGATCGTCGGGATTCAACCCCCGAAGTTTTTTTTTTTTCTTTCTTTCTGCGACTCCTCCAAGACCCCTAGGGGTCGTTCTAACGGACTTCTTAGTAACAAGATTCTGCTCCCCCTTCGTCTTTTGTACTCGAGGTCTTGGTTCCAACCCCGCTCCATTGTCGGGACCCCATTCAAGCGGAGGACCCAGGTATATGCTGATTTATATAAAAATTTTTTACCTAGGCCTCCGTCTTTCCCCCACTCCTTACTACCTAGGGGCTTTTCCTCACCTAAGAGATCTCCCTCCCCATATTATAACCCGGAGGGGGAAAAAAAACCCGTACATACTAATTAATGTATTCCGCAGTAATTAACATAAGGAATGAATGCCGTTCCCGCTTTGTGCGCAAGGGCATCCGGGCATAACTAACTAGATTTAACAGCTTGATTTATTCAGCTTCAACGTACTTTGAATACTCCAATGCGCACGCGTGAAGTATGTCGTGGCTCCCCCCAGAGGAAAAATGTAAACAAACCCTAACGTCATAACGAACTTTGCCAAATGTTTCCCATACATGTATGTATAAACTAAATAAAATAAAAATACAATAATTGGAGTTATTAAATAACAATAAATAATTATATTGTCAATTTTTATTGTTTGAATATTTCAAAAGTCAATCACACGTCGGTAAGTTTTTCAAGAAACAAAATTAATAATTTTTTTTTGGATACTAAATAAACATTTAAATCAATTTATTATTAAATTAAAATGTCTTTGAAATAATTTTTATATTAAAATAATTGAATAAATAATGATAATTGTAGTCCACGGTTACAGAGTTCATTTTTACTTACAAGACTTTTTTCTTATACTTTTCTTGATTGTTATATAAAAATTTAATTCAATTTATTATTAAATCCAAATATCAGTTAAAGAATTGTTCTATTAATATATTTTAATATTAAGAGGTTCACAGAGTACACAGACATATTTATATAAAATTTAAATCGATGGAATGAGTTTTGAAACTTGAAGAATTTATAAATGTTTTTACCTTGCATAATTATGGCGATTCTTCTCTGTTATTATATCAAACAAAAAAATACAAAAAAATGCTTAAAAAGAAAATTCAAACAAACTTATGTATAATAATTTATTTAATTAAAATTCTTGTTTGTATGCGTTTGATTAGGTAGTTAAGTACCAAATTTAATAACATCAATTTTAGTCTAAATGTAAAATTATATCTATTTTGTTAATAAACACGTGTCAATTTTCGGTATAATTAATTTATAGAATTTTGTTTAGAATATAGCCATATAATCATGTAAATTTTTTTTGGGGGGGCTTCGAAACTGATATGATAGTTCCAAAGTACGTATTATTGGCCAACAAGAGACACACGCCCGAAAACCAGAAGTCCATAACAATAGTAAGTCATCCTATCCTTTAATAGCTGGAGGATAGTGATTAGAATAAGGACCCCAGAAGAAGAAGAATGGTAAGACCGGATAGGGCTCTAACCGCGAAGGATAAAGGACTATTAGGAAGCAGAAAGACATCGATAATAATAGGCCGAAGGAGTGGAAGGAAGAGGAAGTAAATAGTGCCCACCCAGGTACGACCTGGGTTTTATTTTCAAAAGACCCTGGTCTAGGTAGACCCCGTGGAATCCTAAAAACATAGCAGCTCCACACTGTCTAGCTGTGTATAGGAATATAATATATACTAAATGTCCGAGCGTATTATATAGAAATAAATAATTTATAGCAAATTATATTAAATATAACTTATAATAAAAAATACTATGTCGTAATTAAATATCCTTCAGATTAATTTTAAAAAAAATACATGCAACTAGAGCATACTAACAAAAATCCATCAAATTACAAAAAAATAATTAATACTGATGATCACTTATAACATTCAAGACCCGTTCTTCTTAAATTATACCATATATATATATATATATATATATATATATATATATATATATATATATATACAAATAGCACCAAACAACATTAAAATAATATCATAAAATATATTAAAAAAAAAAAGATATTTAAGTGATACTTATTAGAAATTTTATAAATAATGTAACTTTAAATTATTTTTTAATAAACAATACTGATAATATAAAACACATTTTAGATCTTTAAATCCTTCTTTATTTTTCTTTCCACCAACATTTCAACCCTCTAGAACATTTTCAAAGGAATGAAATTTTACTTTAAGAAATAAAATGATTGGGGTAATTTGCTTGTCACTTTTTTTTTATCTAATACTACTGGCTGAAACTTTGGGTCAAAGAAAAATAAAGTAGTACATAAGGATCAGATATTAAATATATATATATAGAAAAAAAATACTTTAATTAAAAATATATATAAATCCATTGATAATAGTATTTGGTAAGCCACTGAAAATAAAACTGAAAATTCGAGATTTTATCAAAATATCTAAAAATATCCTCATATTAGATTAATAATTAAATACTTATGTCAAAAATAAAAGCGTACTCTATCATTTTTAGTTGATTCACTAAAAAAAGATATATAAGAACGGAGACAAAATGAAAACGAAAGTTGCCCGTTGATGATAATAATCAACAAAAATCTATTAATGATATAAACTATACACATATAAACATGTAATAGAAATATAGATTAATGTAGATAATACATTTGATGAAAAGAGAAAGTGTTCTACATCTGTTAATTAAAAGTAAGAGTAATTCTTACGCCGTCTCGGTGTCGTATTTCCGAACTTGTATCACTTTAATTTTGTAACTTGTATTATATAATATATTCCATTTTTTAAATATTATTATATTGAATCAGGAACTGAATTTTTAAATAAACATACTTTTTTTTCCTGAAGTCTGGAGAGGTAGAAATAGTGGGAATCGGTAGCGATTCGTCTGACAAGAAGAAAAAAAAACCTGAGATATATCATTTGTGTTTTTTTCTCTTTCTAGGACCAAAAGTTTCGTCTCCGTGACGATGTAAACTGATCTCGCACAGTTGGGCCGAGGCGGAAACGATCGAATTTTACGCGGGTACATTCGGTACCCTTCAGGTACAGTCCCAGGTTAATTAAAACGAGCACGGACTAATGGTTCTAACGTACTTCGTGACTACGCCAGTGGAAAGAGCTTCCGGCAATTTGTTTCCGACGGGAGGGGAGACCGGACGAGACGAATTTTCAATTTACGACAGACAGACTCAATATAATTCACTTTATACTGCTTTAAAAAAAAAATATTTATTTAAAAATTATAACATGATAAATCTAATTTATCTACAAAAAATAAATCGTTCGCTTAGAAGAAGAGTGCTTTTTTAACGTTAAACATTTATTGTTTACAAAATAAACTTAATCTTCATGTTTAGATCATTTAAATATGAATCGCAGAATTATGTTAACAAATGGAATAGAAGGCTTTCAAACGAAAAAAGAGAAGAAAATGAAAATTTCGGTATAACAAAACTAGGCGAGAATGCATTTCTGAATTATATGAGTTATTTTTTAATAAGCTCAATGGTTTCTGTCATAACATCAAATTATTATTAAATAATTGAAAATTTCGCCAATTAAAGCATCTTCGGGAAACAATACAATTTTAGGTAATATACAGTTTGTATATAGCGGCACCCAAAATTGCACACCTACAATCAGAATCTAGGTGTACATTGCAGGGTACAGTTATTTACAAAATATGTACTGATTCTTCTAAAGAGGTCTGAATTGGGCTATTTCAAAATAAATTAATGTTATCATTTAGATTATTAAGGCCTAAATTACGACTTATATGAATTGTCAAATAAAATCGTTTTTTATATAATAAGTTAAATAAATGAATGTTATAGAAATATATTTTAAGTCAACATAATTTTTCATGACTGACACATGTATATTTATGACCAAAAATAAAGTATTGGTAAAATTTGACTTGACTTACCTGAGATAGCCGAATGTTACTGAGCCTGTTGCCACCACGAGATGTAATCCAGCAGCTCCTCGTCTTCGGGGGACATGGGTTCTTGCGAATACGCGTGGTAGCCGGGTTCGCTGTGGTAGGAGGAGGTTGAGGGGGGCGGCGAATTGGAACTGTCCGAACAAGCGGGAGACAGTTCCATCTTGCTATCCTTGAAGTAGTTCTCCGAAGCACCCCCGGACTCGTCCAGCAAGTCCTGGAGGGATCGGATGTACTCCACGGCCATCCTGAGGGTTTCCACTTTGGACAACTTCTTGGAGGCCCCCCTGCCGGTATTCGTAGCGCCCAAAGCCGCCGCTACCGAAAGCGGTATATGGTTCCTGAGGGTAGCGAATCCGTTGTTCACTTGTTTCACCCTGTTCCTCTCCCTGGCGTTTCGCCTCGCCACGCTCGCGGGCTGCATCCCGGTATACGCGAAGTTGATCCTCCTCTTGCACCGGACTTCTGAGGTGTTGTCGACTAAGACGGTCGTCCTGTCGGAGGGTTCTGACTTGATATGGGGAGAGTTCTCGACGATGACTGCGTTCCGCTTGACACCAAGAGACGAGAGAGATAGAGGCTTGCCGACGACAGACGTCATCACTATTAGACACAGAGCTGACGTGCCCTTGTTGAGTTACTAAGGCCGAGTGAGGCACGCGGCGCCCCCCACTCCTATATATACCCTCTCCCCCACCACTCCCTTCGCGACGCGTGCCGCGATCGTGCCTTCCCCCTCCACCTCGGACCGGTCGCTCCCGGTGAGGAGTCATTCTTCAGACCAGCCTCACCTTCGGAGATAATGGCTATTCTATCGGTCTTAGTGATGTCTTATACCTGACCGCGATGTATTACCTAGAACTTTTAATTGGGAAAAAATTAATATTATAACTATTCTAAAATTAATATTATTCTTACTCATTTCTCTATCAATTTTACATATACTCTACGCTTATTACATAACACCTTGGATAAATTATTAAAAACTAGTATCTCCGTAAACTAGCCAATGTGAAAACCCTCACATTATAAGCTATCTATAACAATTCCCCAATATTTTGGATAACAAAAATGAAATCAAAATCACGAAATTAAATATGTAAAACCTAAAACCAATTAATAAAATACGAAATGTCGACTAGATAGCTAAACAAAGTTCTAGAAGTAGGCACACACGTTTTATAACATATCTTATGTTTCTATTATTGAAATATTATTTTATATAAAAAGATAATTAATTATATGTAGACAAGTTATTATCATATTTTCCGCGGCTACTTTGAAGTATTTGGGAATACTGGATTAGATTAAGTTTATTAGGTTCTTTAATTGTTAGTTTTTTATGTTTATTTCAGGTTGATATTAAGTAAATTATTGATTTTTTTTTTTGTTTTTTTCTTAATCCTTCAAAATTTCAAATAAATAAAAAATGTAATGTATTCAATTGGTTTGTTAACAGTATTTCAAATATATATTAAAATAACAAATAATAATAATTATTTGTAAACATAGATATAAATTTATATTTGTATATATTGTTCGTTTTACAAGAATTCTGTTAATTGTCACATATAATTTTTATATAAAATATAAACTCTCGAAACTATAGTCTGGGGGTCCATTGACTTTCCAATCAGAATGAAATTTTTCAAAATCTTTTTTTGGGCGAAATTGCCAAAAAAATGTATATTTACAAGATAAATAAAAAATATCCACTGAGTTTTTTTATTTTTAATCTACTACTCAAAGTCGGCATCTGAGTATGGACTGATTTCTTACTATATCGACGAACTAAAAATCTATTGAAGAGATAGAAAATAGCTCTGCGATCCCTTAAAGATTTCGGATAATATAGAAAAAACTGTTTGGTATTTTTAGTAAATAAAAAAAACATCATGAATAATTATTACTGAAATCTGATGAAAACTTGGGTGTTCAAGTCTCAACAGAGCTCTCATAGTACTGTTTACAGCCACCATACTGATGAGGGCGCTGGAGTTACTGTATTCAGTAGTGAGTTTGTTTGGTATTTAAAATTGTCCAAGAATTGTACTGTACAAAAATATATTTTTGTACAAAAATACTTAAAAGTTTTTTTATTTATAATGATGCAAAGAATAATTACAGAGAGTTGAATTTGGGGTCAATTTTCTTTCTTTATTTTCGTTATGATTATTTATCCATTCCTATTAGTTTATATAAAATCTTCCTTAATAACAAAAACATAAAAAATAAAAATTTCTAATAGGATAGATAATTCCCGAAATTAGCGTGCACAAAAAAAAAAATAACTCTATCTATATTATAAATCTCTCGCTATATTATACATGATATATTATATTCTGTCATATATATATATATATATATATATATATATATATATATATATATATATATATATATATATATATATATTTTTTTTTTTTTTTTTTTATTAAGAAAAATACATTTTGTCTCAATTAAGGGCATTGAATATTTGAGATGTATAAGATTCATTGATACCATATATACAATAACAAAAATAATAGACTAATTATAACAAAAGAAAAGAAAAAGAAAACTTAGTAATACAGAAGAAATTAAACATAAGACAACATTAAATAAAAATACGTGCATACTTATTTACAGTCACATATAGAAATCTTGCAAAAGATCGGGTAAATTTATTTATTTTTTCTTAACTTCATTTATTCACCCACATCTGTCATGAGAACAATTAGCTGGTCAGCTAGTGCCCAGCAGCATCCCTTCCTGTCTTGAATTTAGCATTTTTTTAAGCTAGGAAATCCCTCATCCAGCTCCATTTGAATGTCTTTATGTAATGTAATGTTTGTGACGTACCATGGAACTTTAGTTGTGGTCCTGAAAGTTTTGGACTGAAAAGTTTGTAGTTTTCGTATCTGGGTCGTTTTGGCTGTTCCGTAAATTTGTGCAGGTCTTCTTCAGGGAGGTAACGTAAAACTGAGTTTTAAGTGAAACTCCTAGCTGAACACACCTCCCTGAAGAAGACCTGCAAAGTCGGGTCGAAACGTTGGCTTTTAATAAAATAGTTTTGCCACTATTTAGCCTATTTATGACCGCCATCCCGGACCATCTCCTTTCTTTATAATGCAATGATCAACTATTAAATATTCAAATATATAATTATCTATTTGCTAATAATGAACTATTATGTATAAATTTATAATTTCTTGTATGAATCTTCTTCATTTCTTCTTTACATTTAGTCAAATAAATTTCAAACAAGTTATATTTTAATCGAGTAAAGTAATATTTTAAATCACTATAAATTTGTATTAATTCTTTAATTACTATATATAAATTTTTTTTTCTCGATACCCCTCCCTACCTCGCTTTTTCTCGCCTTGGCATGGGTCCGCCACTAAATGAATTTTAACCCAATCAGGTCGGCTTCGAACTACTTGTAATTCAATACATAATACATTTTTTTCTGATGTTTTTGTTTTAATATCATCTGGATTTATTAAAGGGCGATGTAATATCTTTATAATGTTCCCATATTACTAGTCATGAGCTTACTTTGAGATGTTAGCTTAAAAAGTGATCCAGAATATAGAGTGTAGTTTTTCGGGGTAATGATAGAGTTGCTACTGAAGACTAGACTGTTTTTTGTAAGCTTGAATAAGGAGCTGAATAAATGAATACATTTTGTTCACGATTCGGCGCCGTTCGGGCGTGAGTACTCACAAGTTAGGTTGTTTGAGTTAATAGCATCTTTCTGTTACCGTTGATGTATGGGTTAGGGTTTAAGAATGAAGTATCTTTTTTTTTGTTTTGTAATAGGTATTTGTTTACTTTGCAATCAGAAACACGGGCGGGTCTACGTGGAGGCTTTTGGGTTGAAGCCCCTCCCTACAAAATGGTAAATTTTAACCATGATTTATGGGGAAAAAAAAAAAAAAAATTATCTCTTATTGTATTATTGTTGGTGTAATTACATTTAAAAGGACATTAGGAATCACTTAAACACTATTTCATATAGGTAGTTTCTTTCTTTTTTTGCAAAATAATTATGGTTATTTTTATGAAAAAAAAGCTTCCGGGCTGCAGCCCCTCCCAAAAAAAAATTAAATCCTGGATCCGCTAGTGATCAGAAACATTGAAAGTTAAACATGAATGCTACCGATACATTGGCTTAAAAACATCTATGTAGTCTTGGGTTCAATACCATGTAGGGGAATACTGTTTCAAGACCAACGGTTGTGCAGAAGAGGTGATCAGGCCAAGATCACTCTCTACTTGCAGGTTTCTGCCCTCAATTAATTATACAATTAAAATTACCCACTTTATAAAAACTCTTTGGGCTTAGCAGGAAAAAAAGGAAATTCGATTCGTCATACTCGCAGACTAAAAAGATTTGTGGGATAATTGACGATCAAATCTCTCATTTGTGCAAAAATGTATAAAAATGACTTTCAAAATATATAACATATTGTGACTACTTACAAAAGAAGAATTAATTAAACAATGAAAATGGAACAATATACATACAATTTTAGCAAATTAATAGTTTTTGTTATTTTTTATTAAATATGTTACAATATATGCATAACAACAAAAGTTTTTTCCTGTTTAAAGAAAGAAATAACAGTCCTTATCTTGACGGACAAAAAAAAAAAATGTAGACAGGTGTTAATATTAAGTATAAAGAAATGTTTTATAAAACCCAAAGCCTATTTATATGTTATATAACTAAGAAAGTTTTTTAATTGTGATAACAATTTTGGTTTATTATTTTCAATAATGAACCATTCTGATCGTCCTAAAAATTAAAAAATTTAACCCTCCCTCTAAATTTGAGGTTTTACGTTTCGCGAAACGTAGAATTCGAAAATCGAATAAAAATTTTGTTGTCTGTCCGCTGGTTTTTTGGTTTTTCTCCGTGACTAGTGGTCAGATTTAGAAAGAAAAAGTTTGGCTGAAAGGGAGGTGTAATAGACTACCATTGGTATTATTGTCTTTAGGGTTGTCAAAAAGGACCGATACGCCCACTTTCCTGACTACACATAGGTCTCCCCACCAGTACCAGTACTAGAATCCACTTTACAGAGGCTGGATGTGCCCCTGGGTAGTCTCCTGACTCCATAATCGATCCACGGCTCATGTAACAGAATTAATAATTACTTTCCATCAGCCGGATTCGAATCCAGAGTTTTGTACCACCGGATCCAGGGGAGGAGCGTAGGAAATACATATAGATATATAATTTTTTTTTTCTCCGTTTTCATATCAATATCATACATAACATCAATATTAATTACGCTAAATTATTACTATCGCACATTATATATTTGGGTGAGATTGATATAATATTCTTTTGCAATTACAATTTGCAAGACCAATACCAATACCAATACCGCCTGTCTGTTGCAAAACCAAGACCAAGATTCGTAAAAAAAAAATCGATTTTTTGAATAAAAATTGAGGCAAAATAGTTACTAATACTTTACAATTTTGGTTACTATATGTAAAGAATCAGTGTAACCAATATACTTTTGCATTTAACTCTTCTAATTTTTCATTCAGACTTAGTTAGGTTTCTCATATCTAAAAAATTACAGTAATAAGCTAATAGGCAATTGCAAGACTGTTAAGAGAGTCTTGCTCAAGACCAAGACTCAGTTTGGAAGACTAAGACTCGTCTCGATCTCGCGTTTGGGCTACACTATAACGCACACATATCAACGAACATAATTTTATGCATACAAATAAAAATACATGACTGTATTAATTATTAAAATTTAATAAATAA